TTGCGTCGGCTGGTAACGGCGCCAACGATGTCGCCAACTCATACGCCACATCCGTGGCTGCAAGAACCCTCACAATGCCCCAAGCTGGTGTGCTTGCAATCATCACAGAGTTCGTGGGAGCTGTAGCGCTTGGAGCGCGAGTAACGTCGACGATGGAAGGGTGATGTGATGTGACTGAACGGTTGAAACGAGTGGGAAGAGCAGAAACTTGACCTTTACATACCTCTTGGACTCGATGCGCGTCGGCATTTTTGCAGAATGCGTCTCCGTCGCAGGGTCGCCAGCACCAGCACGCACCTCACACCTGGCCTGGTCGACAGAGGATCCATAAGATCGCCTCTTTCCAAGACCGTAGCCAAGGCACCACGCTTCAACGAGAGCGGCGGCGGGCCTTCACGGGCGGACGTGTTTGGTGGTGAGCGGCGGTGTTGTGCGGTATTGCACGGTGGGAGTGGGCGTGGACCTGTTATGCCAATGTCTGGGCGAGCTGGGCGTCGAGGCTTCGACGAGAGTCGTGAAGTCGAGCAGCGCGCACGTTGCGAAGAGCTGCAACGGTATTGGCCGTTGGAGCCCACGTTCGGTCCAAGCCCGGCACGTCAACTCGCCTGCCCTCGACGCCTTGGACGGCAAAATGCGTGTCTTGAGACTCTTGACAATCGTTGAACATGCAGCCTTGCAGCCTCGTTTCGCTCGTCGTGTGCTCTCTTGCCTCGTTTGGACAACATTTTCATTCAATTTCACTCGGCGTGCTCCACTGGTGTCTGCACGTGTTGCTCCTCTCTGCCAGCATTCGCTCTTGCCAGTCTCGCCAGTCTTGCTGTCGCGTGTCCTCCTGCCTCCGGCGGACTGGCCTCTTTCGCTTCCTCGCCTTACAACGCCACCGTCTGCACGCTTGTGTCACCAAGGAGGCAATCAATTCTTGTTCAGCTCGTGCTTGGAAATTACCTGAGCCGGCAAGTCGGAGTACACGGCTGCTGTCGCCACCACGTGTTGCACTTCACAGGCTTCGAATGACTTGCAGGATGAGGCTTCTGTCACCTTGAGGCACTTTCGAACTCTGTCTTTGCTGTGCTTGTAGCTTGCTAAGAACATGCCGCGAGCTGCCTAATTATTGCCTGAGTAATGTCTGGCTGTCATGGCTCGTCGAGAACAGGTCCATCATGTCTCTTCCTGGGATCTTTTCTCCTGAGATCTTCTCCAGGCTCATTTGTCGTTCTCTACAGCACTTCCCGGATCGCATGAGCCCTTCAGCTACATACCGCTGCGTGCTGACGCGGCATTGTTTTTCAAGACTCTCATCGGTAATCTGCTTGGCAAAACATTGACATTACTGAACTATATTCCTCCAGCATTACGGACAAGCTCCCGGCTGTCAAAGGTCACAACAGGACTCCGAAAGAACATATACGAAAAGTCATCCAATCTTTTTCGTCCCCACTCCCCTCGTCGCACTTTCTGACCAGGAAGCTTACAAGGCCAAGGCGGCAGCAACCAAGCCAATGACACCACCCGACAGGGTAATCATCCCGTTGCTCAGGCTGAGGGAAGCAGCCGCGCCAGTCGACTCTGCAGCCTCCTCAGAGGTGGATGAAGCTCCAGATTCTGGAAGAATAATTGTCAGCATCGAGTCGTTCAGTCAGCAAGAGACAGCAAAAACTTACCAGCAGCGTCAGAGGCAGTGGATGATGCGCCGCTCTCGGAGCTGTCCGATGAATCGGAACCGGAACCAGTCTGCGAAGCAGAACCAGAGGAAGACGCCATGCTTTCAGAGGTAGTGGTGCTACCAGCACTGCCATTTACAGGCGTAGAAGCACCCGTGGCGGACGATTGGGAAGTCATGACGCCTGTGGGAGTGCCACCAGAAACGTAGTAGTACTGGCTTGCGCAAGATGCAAGGCACTCGCCGTACTTCTTGGTATCCTCAGGGCCGCTGTCTCCCTGTGTGCTGCACCATTGTCAGTGTACCGTGGAGTGAGTGTGGGTTTGAGAAGATGGGACTCACCACTCGTTCCTTGAGCAATTGTCTGTCGCCATGATCATGGACTCGTTGGGAGCCGGGACGTTGGCGCACCCTGCCTTGCAGACCAAATCTTCATTATCACATGCTGCGAGGCATGATGTAACCGACGAGGTTGCGTCGGTAGCGGAGTTGGTGCTCGAGGCAGCGGTGCTGGTGCTCTCGTCGCTCTGGGCAACGGCCAGGCCCAAGAGGGCGACAATGGGAATGAAGACGTGCATGTTGCTGTTGTAAGTGAATTGGATTTGTTGAGCGAGTGTGTTTGATTCCTTTGATGAGAGTAAGGTAAGGATCGATAAAAAGGCAACGAAGGATCGAGGAAGGAACACGAAGAAGAAGAGCTCAAAATCGGACAGGCACGAAGGGGCTTTTTACGAGACACGCGCCGTCCACCGTCGAACGAGGCGAAATGCACTTGTCCTTAAAATATCGCTACCCAAGCCAGATCTGGCCAATCCCCAAACAACAACCCCAGAACCCCAGCCAGTTTCACACCATCTTCCCCGCGCGCCGATCGAACGGTTTGAAGAGTCACGTGTCGCCTTGAAACGGTATAGACCAGGGCAATTTCCCAACGCCACCGCCGTACCTGCAGATGAAGAACCTCCCGCCGTGTGATGATTCGTCTGAAGCTGTGGAATTGGCTTGCATGCCGACGAGCCGCGCCCGAAATTTAGAGCTTGTTCAGGCGAAAGGGAGAAAATGTTAAGTAATGCTTTCATGGGAAAAACTGCTCGATGTTAGATGTGTCTCGACTTGATGATGACTCGAGTCACTCGGCGTGTGATTGCGGTGCGATGTTTTGAATGAAAGTTCTCGCTAACGGTATGCTGAAGCAATGATAATGATAACTACAACGACATGAATGTTTCTCACGAGTCGAGCAATGTTTTGCCGATCGCTCTAGGCAAGTTTCATGTCGCGCACTGTTCTCTGTTACTTTTACATGATATGTTCGTGTCTCTCAGGGGACAAATTAACAAGGACGGCCGTGGGCGACGTTGGTAGTAGTCTGTCTCGATTAATATGTCCCATGAGAGCGTGTTGGACTGTGAAAGTGAGGTCGCAGACAGCTTGGTCACTGCACGATGCAAGTAGCCGGACACGAGGAGTCGTCACGCATGTACTACACACCTTCGTACGCGTGTGATCATGCGATAGATGCACCTCGCCTTCACAGCATGAGCATGGCCAACGCATGATTTATTTATGTATCAGTAACATGGCGAGAATGCAATGTTCGATGTCGATCACGTAACACCAACCCTAACCCTGATGACTATATCTTGAATCAGCATCTTCATCCGACACCGAACCATTATGACTTTACAGATATACGTTGCCTGCAAGATGGCAAGAGTCTTTATTGCAAAATACAGTCATTGGCGCGGGCGATATGCAGAGCACGATAACTCATGTAGAAACAGGTGACACGTCCATGTAGGTACCTAAAGCTGACACTACAATTCTATATATAGTATGCTGTCCTTGACAGGGTTCCAAGCAGTACCTACGTGTCAATACATGTATTTATGCTGCGACATATAGCGCAATCATTGATAATATCTGCAAAGTCTGGTAATACAGGATTCCTCCATTGGTGGAAGGCCCTTTCGTTTACAGTAGGCACAAGTCAACGTAACCATTGTCTTGCGAAATCCGTCAGCAAAGCCTTCATAAGAGTAGTGACATTCATTTCTCGCTCTAATAACACAAAGTATACACAGTCATTGTATCTGTACAGACCCGAGTCTGGCTCTCATATCGCCAAACCCTGCGTTGGCGACGTCAAGCAGTGCAACGCCAGCAATGCTTTTTCCCAGGCAATATGCCAAACCCGCCTTCCAAGTAAATACATGGACACACAGTATAATGGCCCATCATCTCTTTATCGTACACACCCAGCCGCGCGCGCGGACCGCCCTTCTCTTCTTGCAATTATGATACAGCCATGCTACTCCCATCTCGGAGTGCCGTGATAATTCGGTCTTCGGCAGCGTAAATTCAACGGACTAGATCATGTCCTGACATAATCTATGCGTTCTTGACAACGCCGACCTTGGGTGCCCTCAGCACGCGGCCGTTGAGCTTGAAGCCCTTGGTCTGGGTGAAGAAGACAGTGCCGTCCTCCTTGCCGGGCTGGGGCGCCATGAAGGTAGCCTCGTGCTCGTTGGGGTTGAACTTCTCGCTCTCGACGCTAGGGTCGAATCTCTCCATGCCGTGCTTCTTGAGCGTCTGCATGAGGACGGTCTCGGTCATCACCAGACCGTCGTGGAGGTTGTCCAGGTCCTGGGAAAAAGCATTGCTGGCGTTGCACTGC